CCCAAAAGGACAGAGGGAGGACAGCATACCCGACGAGGAGTCGGAGGATTTTAGAGCAAAAGACCAACCATCAGGGGTCATAGACGCACAATGTGGCAGGCGCAGCTCCACTGGCTTCAGGAATTTTAGTCCATGAGGCCCACACATTACCAAGGGGCTAAGAAGCGTTTCACCTACAGTTAAGAGAAAGAAAACACTCTTACTACTTCTTCTTGAAATCGGTTTTAAGTTATCACAGGATGACATGGCAGAGCTACTCGGTGCTTTCATTTCGGAGAAAAATACGATCATTTGGACCTGTCACTAGTAAAGACTAGCACTTAGTGAGATTTTTTCTCAAGTCTCTTTCGGAGCACTCCAGTGACTTTTCCACGGAACATATCACAATCCCCAAATGAAAAAGGATAAATAAGGCCGATGATTAAATCAGGTTGGGATTTTTTTTTCTTTGCCACTAATTTCTAAGCGGGCGCACGGAAATGAACAAAGTCGCAAATCTGTAAGCGGCCTCGTTCGTGCTTCTCTTTGCGCTACAGCTGTGATCTTCTGCTTGTACAGATTTATGGCACTGGGCTGAAAAAAAGCCTTCGGCAGCCTGTGACCCTTATTCCCAAAAGTCAAAGGATAAAGCGTACAAAAATACAGGTCTATTTTTAGTTTAAAATACCAAATGTTAACATAAGATTATTCAGTTGAGGAACATACTAGTTTGGTTTATAAAGATTCAAAGTAACAGCAGATTGGGTTGCAAGTAATGCTTTAACTGCAAATTTAAGAAGTTAACCCCTTTAGCTTCTTCACTTGAGGAAATTAGGAATCTGACAGGTCAGAAAAATGCATGTTCACTGGACTAGTGGTTTGAAAGACAGACCCTCCTATGAAAAAATTGCTCAACTAAGATACACTACTTCATCCTTATTAATAAGACAGCTATGAATATACTTTTAGTCACATAAAAGTTAGAACATTTTTTTTAAACCCTGAAGCTTTCTTTAGGAAAATTGGAAAAAATTATAATACTGAGTATTTAAATGTTGAATTAAATTCCAAGTATTTAACTCACGTCAAATTAGCTTAAATCATATGCTTTGTAATTGTTTTGCTCCTAAATGTGAGATGAAATATTTCTAATAAGAACGCCTAGAATAAATCTCTGCACGGTGTGAGGGAATCTACCATTTCAAAGATTCTTTAAAAAAGAATTTAGAACCTTTCTTTAGCACACTAGCTTGGTTTTAAACCGGTACCTAAGTCTACAAATTAAATATTCTCAGGTTGTAATCCCAGCCCTCCATCTTGCTTGCAACTTTCAGTATTAAGCAGGATGCTGTTTCCATTATTCTTCTTGTAAGATGTGTAACTCTGTATCATCACACAGAAATGTACATTAAATACTGAGGCATATTAAGGTCTCTTCAGGTTCTACTTTGCTGTTCTTGGGAAAGAATTGTATTAAATAACACAACAACGTAAACATACAGCGCCAGCTTTTACCTTTCTCTTTGTCCAAAGGTGGAAGTATACTGTTGTCTCTGCAGACTTTGAAATATATTTCTTGCTCTATTCCCTCTGGAATGGCTCCTTGTGGTATAATAATACTAACTCCAGTCTCTATGGAGCTCAACACACCACCATTGCTGTTAAAAACACCTCTTGCTGTGGCTACAACCGTGTGTCCGTCTTCTTCCTCCTCATCCTCGAGTGCTGAAGGGCTGAATATAAGACAGAAGGTCTAGTAATTTTATCAGTGGCAATACTTTCTTCTAACATTTTAGCAGAGCACAGCCTAGAGTAGGCCAGCACTGATTTTTCAAAAAAACACATTAAATATGTCCAACACTTAATC